CGTAGTTGCATTAACCCAGGGAATTAGTTTAGCTACGTGTGAGCGCACAGGAGCTTGTGTATGCCTACGCAGAGATTCATCAAAAGTAGAGAGCTGCTTAAGAGGCCAGTGGGAATATCTGCACGTTGCAATTAGCATCAAGACATAATACCCCCATCCATTGGACAGCTGAATAAATGGACTTGGAGGAGCACACCACAGAGCAGGAAAAAATCTGTTGTATTTCAATTTTTTTTTTTTTCCATGTTATTATTGCTGATGATTTTGCTTCTGCTGTTTGCAGTTTATTCTTCAAGTATCTTGGGAATTGTTTTTAGCTCCTTTTTGTCCTTTGACAAGTTTTTGTGTTTAGCTATATGCAGCAGAAAAGCTCATGATAAATACACAACACTTTCTCCTAATAAGGAGAAATACCTCATGCAGCATATTTCTCACACATGAGGTGTTCTTTACACACCAAAGGTGTAATCTTTCTACTTGTTTAATGTTTACCGTATCTGTGTCTCCTTTTTTCTAAAAATCATTTCCTTCCTAACACCTGTCAGGCGCAACTGCATCCTGGCAGATGAAATGGGCCTGGGAAAGACCATCCAGTCCATCACATTCCTGGAAGAGATCCATCGTATTGGCATCAAAGGGCCCTTCCTCATAATCGCCCCCCTGTCTACTATCGCAAACTGGGAGCGCGAGTTTCACACCTGGACTCACCTCAACGTCATTGTTTACCATGGGAGCATGATCAGCAGGCAGATGTTGCAGCAGTACGAGATGTATTTCAGGGATGCTCAGGTAAATGCACACCAGTCACAGAAATGTCATAGGCAGCTACGTTAAACTCATCGTGGGCAAATGAATAAATAATGGACTTTATTATGTGGACACGCCTTTCAGTTGATCTGAGGATTAGCTTGTCTGCGCTGGCTGTTTCTAAATGTAGATTTCAAGTAAGCTTGCAAATCAAAGATATAAAGTTTTTGTGACATGTTCTTCCTGTTGGCAGGGCACTGTAGCTATGGATATGATTTAAGAAATAAAACCGATAGCAGCTATTAAGAGAACTAAATGAACCAACTCTGCTGGATAAGGTTTTATAGCCTCTATCCATCAAACCAGCATTGACGACTATCAGCAACAGCAGAACACCTTGTTGTCTCCTCACTAGCATCTGCTTCAGAAAATAGCTCTTTAATACAGAACATAGATTAAATCTACTAGCAATAAGAACAATGTATACATGCACAGAAACACATCACTTTGTTTGGGAAAGTGAAGTGGTACTCTATAAATCACATTCAGTTCAATTCAATTAATTTTATTTAAATAGCGTCAAGTCACAACAGAAGTCATCTCAGGGCACTAAACAGAAACATTCATATGTATAAAAAGTAAGTTAAAAACATTAATTATCTGAGGAGCAGACTGCTTTGAATTTAACTTAATTGCAGACGCTCAGGACAAGCGGCAATCTGCTTCGACTGGCTAAGTTTGAGAGGAACTGGAAAAGGGAACGGATACACAATGACAGGTCGAGAATGACAGAATAATTTTATATGAAAACTATTCAATTTTAACAATTCATTTAAGGAAATGAGGTCAAATTGTCCTCCATTAGTTTAAGCTTAAGACAGCATAACAAGCCAATCCTAATTATAGAATTTATCAAAAAGTCTTAAGCCCAGTCTTAAAACTGGACAATGTTTCAGCTTTACGGACAGAATATGGAAGTTGGTTCCACAAGAGAGGAGCCTGATAACTGAAAGATCTTTCTCCCTTTCTGTTCTTGGAAACTCCATGGACCACAAGTAAGCCTCCAGTCGGAGAGCGAAGTGCTCTGTTGGGAAAATATGGAACAATAAGATCTCAAATATAAGATGGAGCTAGGTTGTTGAGAGCTTTGTAGATCAGAAATAAGATTTTGAATTTAATTCTGGACTTGACAGGGAGTCATTGGAGAGAAGCTAAAATTGGAAATATATGATCTCTCCCACTAACTCCAGTTAAGACACTAGCAGCAACATTTTGGATTAAGTGAAGACTTTTTAAAGAAGTATTTGGACGCCCAGATAACAAACCATTGCAATAGTCCAGTCTAGACGTGACAAATGCATGAACCAGTTTTTCTTCATCATTTTTAGATAAGATGTTTCTAATTTTAGCGATTTTACGCAGGTGGAAGAAGGCAGTTCTAGTAACGTTTTAAATGTGGGGGATAAAAGACATGTCCTGATCAAAAATAACACCAAGATTTTTAACATTAGAGCTGGAAGCCAGATGAAACCCCCCCAAAAAAAAAAGTTAAAGTTGTGTATGTATAAACTTTATTGCTTGAATTGATAGTATCCTCCATGGCTCAATTAAATATGTATTTAATATGTTTAGGCTCAAGTTATTGATTTGCAGTTTAAATCCAACACATTTTAAATTGTTTAAAGCGTGTTGATATATTTTAAAACTATCTCACAGAATGGAACATTTAATACCACATTAATGACTAGAGAGTTCATATACTATCTTATAATGTCAATTAGTGGTGTCATTCTTCCTGACTGATTAGAACGATTGTGTAAAACCAAGACAAAAATACTTTATACACAAAATAAAAAAGTGAGACAGGCTTTTGACAAGCAATCAGCTTTGTTTAAACTAGTTAAACCTTGAAAATGTTAACTGTGTAAAAAAGTAAAAAGGACATCAAGCATACCTATTTAACACAGAAATGAGGATTCAGAGATCTTTTAGTTAATTGTAATACTTGCAATCTTTACCTTTTCAAAAGCAGGCAGCCAAAAAGCTGTGCTGCTGTGCTTACCTTCAAAATGGAAAGCAATGATTCACTTTGATTAAAATAATCACTGTGCTTTTTGAAAACAGCAGCGGTGCGTTGGGAACGTGAAATTCTCTGAGTAATGTAATTACATGATTCAGAAGAGGTCTGCCTACGAAAATAGGAGTTGGATATTAAAATGGTTGGCAGAACGTGTTTACCTGATATAATACACTTTTTATTTTTCTAACTATTGTACGGACTCGGTGCAGCAAAAAGTGCAATTGCAGTGAGAAGGGAAATGTGGGGCTGCGATATCTTTACAGTGCCAAAATTTACAGCTTCTGTCAAAATGGATTGGTAGAAAAGATCAGTTTCTGTGTTTATGTTCATTAAGATGTTCTTTAAAGATCAGCTGTTTCAAAAATCAACAAAAGGCAACTGGAAATCTTTTTTTTTCTTTCTGAGGGTAAAGCGTGTTGTGTGTTGGGTGTGCGGCCATTTTAACAAGTTAATGGTTTCTAATAGTAAGCTGATAGGGGGTGCTTGCTTTACAGCAGGCTGAGAGGCAGTCGGTGAGCCTTGAACAGAGGCAGGCCATGTGATGTTTTGCAACAGGCAGTTAGGAGCTCTTAGTGTTCAGGCGAACCGTAGCAGGAATTAAGGTGAGAACAGCGAGGAGCTGCCACCAGCAGTCTCTTAACGCAGCCTGTGATGTCACAAAACTCCCGAAGGAGAGCTTGCTGTCAGCGCTGCTCAGGCATATCTGAACGAGTGGTTCCTCCACAGCAGACTGTTGGCTGGCTGGCAGTGGGAGATGTGGGGGTTACAAAATAACAGTATCCCTCAAGGACTGTTGTCAAGGCAATGGATACAAATGGAGAGGCATGGAAATCCACAGCCTCCTCAAACAGACAGACGAGCAAACAGGAGCTCATGCACGTGTTCTGCTGTACATGGTTTTTTTTTTAACAAAAGGTGTGTTTTCTATGGAATTTCAACTGAGAAAACCATAGTTTTGTAGATGAAAGCGAATGACTACAAATTCACGTGTTTCCCATGTTCATATGCATAAAAATGAAAATATGCACCTGTACTAGGCACAGAACTTAGTTTATTTTTCATACCAACAAACTCAGTATAAACATTAATTTGGAACTGCCTAGTAAAAGGCAGCACCTGTTATTATCCACCTGAAAAGGGTCTTGTGCATCTATCAACTTCAATGCGGTCTGAACCACAATGTGTACCCCCATGAATGTTATATGAAAATAACCGGCTTGGCACCGTCATGTGTGTTTTACCTTTAGTAGCATTTCGAGGCAACGTTATTTGCAAACAAAGATGCCATATTTCCCATTGAAAAACACTGGCAGAACTCTTAGCCTCTATCTCCCACAGCGAGGTCACATGACCTAGAATGAAGAGGTCTCTGAACTAAACACTGATAAACTTTTGGAGCCATTTTGGTTCAAGATGGCTGCCACAGCTACCTCAGAAAAAAACAAAATGGACTTTAACTCAGTCATTCTTAGAGATATTGAGCTGAAATTTGGTATGGTCATAACTGAGAGCAACTTGTTATACATTCCTGATGCAAATAAAAAATCCAAGATGACCACCGGAGTTAAAAGGAAAAATACTATAAACCAGCTATTTGTGCGGATATTAAGCTGAAATTTGTTGTGGTGGTAGCTGAGAATGTTTCACATCGCATACTGAATCCAAATCAAAAATCCAAGATGGCCAATGGCCACGATGTGGCAATCACTGTCAAAGTTTTTCGAGGAACTTTCTAATTTTAGGTATTTTTATTGACGATGCACATTCTAAAACTTTTTTAACCTAAAAAAATAATACCTCCAGTTGCTTAAGAGACTTGTACTTGTGCATAAAATCCCATTTCTCTGAGACTTCCACATCTCACCACTCTTCGTCCATCTTCAGGGTCGTGCGATTCGAGGTGCATACAAGTTCCAGGCCGTTATCACCACGTTTGAGATGATCCTTGGAGGCTGTCCTGAACTCAATGCCATCGAGTGGCGCTGCGTGATTATTGACGAGGCCCATCGTCTGAAGAACAAGAACTGCAAGCTGCTAGAGGGTTTTAAGCTCATGAACCTGGTATGAAAACCATCAGCTCAGAGGAAAAAAGTAATATTTTTTTTAAATTAATATTTTAACTTCTGTCCTCCTTAAGGAGCACAAGGTCCTGTTGACGGGTACCCCTCTCCAGAACACAGTGGAGGAGCTTTTCAGCCTCCTCCACTTCCTTGAACCAGCGCGTTTCCCCTCTGAAAATACCTTCATGCAGGAGTTTGGAGACCTTAAGACAGAGGAGCAGGTGAGCACATGGATCTGTGCAAATATGTATCGTTTCGATATGTTAAATGTTTCTAATATTTCTTTTTTTTTTCATCTTGGCCATAAATATTCCTTCAGTTTAAATGTAACTAAGCTATCCACAGAGATTTAAACACTAGAAACAATGGAGATCTACTGTGCATGCATTTCTGGACTATACAGGAACATTTCTCAAAAGAAAAATGCTTTCACCTGTTGCTTTAGACACAAATGTTTGGCTTCTTCTTTTTCTTTTTTGCCAGACAGAATCAACACATCTTCCCCTAGGATACAGTATTACTGTAGAACAGTGGTGCTTAATCTTATTCCTCAAGGGCTACTGTCCTGCATACTTTAGTTGTTTCAGCATGTTTCCAAGCACCATTGATGTAATGTGAAGCTGTAAGTAAAATTATTTGGAAGTCACCCAGTGGTTCAGATCTAAAAGCCACAGGAATTGTGTATTCTTTAGTAGAAAGTTGGGTAACGGTTTTACCACAGAAAGTAAAACAGAACTTAACGATATGTAATATGTGTAATATAAAAACTGAGGTTATGATGCTAGCATAGTGCAAAAAAATAGCACTAAATAAAACCAATCCTTGTAACGTTTTTGTTTGAAAAATGAGCATCCATCCAGCTTTACTTGCTTCTTCCTTTTTGGGTCGTGAATGAAATGAAAAATGAAAGGTTGTTTTCTTGAACAAACTAATGTACTGTAGTCTACATGTAACCTGTTTGATGCTACCTAATCGGATATTTTTTGTGCGATTCATTCCAGCTTTTGCTAAGTGCTGAGGAAAATTTGGTCCTAAAAATGACCACATGTGCTGTAGAAGTAATTTGTTGTAAAAATTGTTACACTAGACAAGGAAATTGTTCTTATTGTCTTGCTTCAAATCAATGCCGGAAAGAAGTAGCCTTTATATTTGGCCACACTAAGCTCAGTTTGATGTGCAAATAACTAAATCCAAACGCCATCCAAACAACGTCACTAACCTTTGCGCTTTAATGCTGCTGATTTTTCACGATCCATCACAGTTTTTCAAAAATCAGTACATCTCTAGAATTAGACTAACTCCTGCCTATATTTCCCTGTATTTATATTTGTTCAAGACTGCTAGAATAATTGCAGGTTATAAGATATTGTAATGTGTATCTGTACATATATAGCTGCAGATCATCTGGTTCTCCCCCAGACAATTTTGAATAAAGTAGATGTGATTTCCTGCATTTTGGTGTATTTTATTGTTAAAAAAAAAAATAAAAAAAAAGATTTATTTATTTATTTTGCCAGATCCCCAATTACTGGCTTGCAGAACCCCCAGGGGTCCAGGGACCCCAGTTTGAGAACCACTGCCTTAGTGTATTAAAACAGGCAAACAAAATTAAACAATAATAATCATTACTTGAATGTTGCTTTTTTTAATTATTGCAGTATAATAGATGATGTGATGTATAAAATATTTTGCTGATAGTCACCAGCATTTTAAAACTTGCATCTGTTTGTACAGAAGCAGTTTCTGTATGTCCTAACTCTCTTGTGACCTGTTTGGACCACAGGTTCAGAAACTTCAGGCCATCCTGAAGCCCATGATGCTGCGCCGTTTAAAAGAGGATGTGGAGAAGAAGCTGGCTCCTAAAGAAGAAACTATCATTGAGGTTGAGCTCACCAACATCCAGAAAAAGTACTACCGGGCCATCCTTGAGAAGAATTTCTCTTTCTTGGCTAAAGGAGCTGGTCAGGCAAACATGCCCAACCTGGTCAACACGATGATGGAGTTAAGAAAGTGCTGCAACCACCCCTACCTCATCAAAGGTTAGATGAGACAGGGCAAGGAAAAATGAATTATTTTACATTTTGTTTAGATGTTGAGTTTTAATGGTTCACTTGAACAAATTGAAGCATTTGTTAGTTTGTTGCATTTAGACCATCCAACCGTATATAAATCCCCGAGAAAACTAGAAAATGTAAGACGTTTGCACACTGAAAATGAGTAGCTTTTTATACTAAATTTGGAATTTTGTTTTAAATTCTGTGCAACTCACAAACATGTAAAAATTTAACTTTATAGATCTGAATCTTGTTTTAGGTACCGTATTTTTCACTGTAAAAGTCTAAAGTTTTTGCATAATTTGCATGCCTTGCGACTTGTACGCCGAAGCGACATTTTTATGGATTTTTTTTTCCATATTTATAAACTCATTTTTGGCTGAGATATGACCGTTTTCATTCATTCTGACTGAAAATATTGAACACTACCATTTTTCAGCTGCTAGATGGCACTCGAGTAGTAAGGCATGCCGTTGTATCATGTAATAGGTAAAAGTGGCTAATAATGGCACAATCGGCTTTCCATATCCTGCCAGCATCGTCTGCCTCGAGCAGCCAAATCAGCTTCATTTCGCTGCGCTGCCCTGGCGAAATGCAGCTGATTTGACCATCAAAGTGCATTTATTAAGTAAAAGTTCAACTGAGACACACATTTACTATAAAGTTGAGCTAACAAATAATTGTTTTTAGGTGGTTATCTTGTTAAATTTCGAAGAAATGAACCAAGTCGCCCTCTGCACGTTCATGTTTCTGCGTATCGGCTTTTGAAAATGAGCTGATTTGACCGTCAAAGTCCATTTATTAAGCAAAAGTTAGACTGAGACACACCTTTGCTATAATTTTGAGCAAACAAATAATTGTTTTTAAGTGTTAATCTTGTTTAATTCTTGTTAAAATCCTCCTGCGCACGCTCCCGTGGCCGCCATATGGCAGCCAATCTTTTTTTGGCACGACACCGGTCCACATTTCTGGGTTGTCAGTGGTGACGAGCTACAAACGCGACGCGTCAGCGATGACGCATAATAGATGTGACATATATGGTGAAGCGACATAGTTATGCATTTTTCCACTTTATTAGACCTATTTGGACTGATGCGACTTGTACGGCAGAAAATACAGTACCTATTATATGTGCATTATTGGAAAATTAAGTTAAAGTATATTTTTTAACTGGAAATAAATTTTAAAATTTAAGTTTTGAAAAAATCAAACTGATACGTGCACAGTACAGTATTGTTGATGTATTTGTCTTCTCTGTTAGGGGCAGAAGAGAAGATCCTGGAGGACTTTAGGGAAGTATACAGCCCTGGTGCTGCTGACTTCCACCTGCAGGCGATGGTGCAGTCTGCTGGAAAGTTGGTCCTTATCGATAAACTGCTGCCTAAGATGAAGGCAGGAGGGCACAAGGTGCTCATCTTCTCCCAAATGGTGCGCTGCTTGGATATCTTGGAAGACTACCTCATTCAGAAAAGGTAATGTTCAGTTATGTCACACATATTCTCATACTTCTTTTTGCCATTAAAAACACCACATTCTTAGTGCACATTTGAAAGGATTTTAATTGCTCGGTCTCGTATGGTTGCGTATGACGACAAACTGGACACTCCACTTTTGTAAGTTTGTGTTTTAACAAGTGGCCAGTGTGAGCAGCAGTCAACAGATAAGGTTACAGAGATTGTTTTTCAAGGACAACACTATCAGATTAACACAGTTTTACAGTCTTCTGCTTCTCTAATTTATGCTCATTACCCTCGGTATCACACATTATATGGTTATAATGACTGAATCATTTCAATTTACACTTTAGTCTCATAGCTGCTGTCTACAAATCAGGTCCTCTTTAGGGCTTAAAAAAAGGCTTTGTCTTGTTTTCCTATATGGGATATTGGATTTTTTTTTTTTAGATATATTTACAATATCTTGGTTAAAAACCCTCAAATCCTATTATAATCAGAAAGTTGTTGTATTCTATTTTTGTTGACACCCCACTGTCTTTGACTTTGCTTACCTTTTTGTGGTCTTTACATCCTTACATTGCTTTTATATCTGTGTTTATTCTTTTTTCCTTTCTTTCCTTTGGCTTCTTGCCAGAATCTGGAGCAAAGCTGAAATTGTTGTAACTACGTGAGGAGCTGAACGGCACAGACCTCAGTCAGGGTTCAGCAGCAGGTTACAGAAGCCCTCAAGGCTCCACCACATCAGACGAGCTGGAGAGTCTGTGAGGTTTCTCTTGAGTGGAAGTGGATTACCCCAGGGAGGGCAGGGGGTCGGACTGTGGGAGGGGATGAGAATGGACTTTGAAGAGACAGATTTGAGGGTGCTGTTTCTCTGGTCAAGAAAGGAAGATAAATGAATGCTTATTTTTTTGGTGCGTTCAAAGTCAACATGCACTACGGCTATGTTAAAACAGATAATTAAGATTATCAAAAGATGTTTAAAGTAGAGATGCACCGATCCGGTATCTGTACCGATATCGAAAAAAAACTTCTGGATTGGGTATCTGTGACGATGTAACCGATCCATGACTCTGTTCATTATCTATTCATTCACTCTAATTCTATGCTTTGTGCTCTGAGTGACGTCACTCGCTAGCATACTGACAACAAATTAAAGTTGTGTTGTTTTTACATGTTTGACCAAGCTTGTGAAGCTCTTGGTGTGTTTAAGTGTGCTGTTATGGTGCAGAGTTTTCAATAAATTAGTAATTCAGTACATTCATGTCTGCGTTTTACAAAACTAATGTTTTAAGTTAATTCAGCACTGGGTTTGTAAGCTCAAACATCCAGGTAGACAACAAAAATGGCTAAATCATGTCATCTGGACCTGTTTCAGAAATGGGCCAGATGACATGATTTAGCCATTTTTATTAATTCAGCACTGTTTTTATGTATCAGATCAGTATCGGCCGTTACTAAACCGCAGGTATCAGATCGGAAGTGAAAAAAATGTGGATCGGTGCATCCCTAGTTTAAAGGGTGACAAAGTTTATAACTAAAGATTAGTGAATTGTTGCGTCCATTATGGTTTTTTTGCCTCCTGGATAAAGGGGGACAATCATAATGTGCATGTGTGTTCATTTATTTCTCTACCGGTTGGCAAAATACTCATTAATCACGAGAAGGATTTTAATAAAATTTCCTAAGTAAGCATTAGATGAGCATCTATGATTCTTTAACAACAGAGCTAATCCACCATAGCAAACACAAACGATGCGATCATTCAGTCAGTTTTATAGATATCAGGTGTGGTAGCAGCTGAGAGTCATACTCAACATTTACTTTTGGTTTAAAAGTTTGGCATGAAAAATGGCAGGTGATGTGCATTTATTTGAATAATTTTTAATTTATGGATGTTTTCTTGTGTGCGACTGTGGCTGAGTGGTTAGAGCAGTCGACGTCCAATGCAAGAGTTGAGGGTTTGATTCTGAACCCCTCATTACCTCCGATGTGTGTCCCATTGGTGTATGAATGTGATAAAGCACTGATTATTATTTGTATAGACATAATAGAGTGCTGTATGAATGGCTAAATGAAGGCACATATTGTATTGTAAAGAGCTTTGAGTATCTTGATGAGATAGGAAAGTGCTCTATAAGTAAAATCTATTTACCATTTGTGACATCTTGTTATAGGTACTTGTATGAGCGTATTGATGGTCGTGTTCGTGGAAACCTGCGACAGGCTGCTATAGACCGCTTCAGTAAGCCCGACTCGGACCGCTTCGTTTTCCTCTTGTGCACAAGAGCTGGTGGCCTGGGAATCAACCTCACTGCTGCAGACACCTGCATCATCTTTGACTCTGACTGGAATCCACAGAACGACCTGCAGGTACGACTTAAATCCACACTTGATTTTTGTTAAAGGTTTAAAGATTAGTGACTAATGCTTGTTCTGTTTAATTGTGTGATATTTCATGTTACAGATGTCAATCAAGTGAAAGATACCGAGTCATTTTCGCTCTTTACTGCATTTTGAGCTTATTTTTGTGCACCTTACAGGCCCAGGCTCGCTGCCACCGGATCGGTCAAAATAAAGCGGTGAAGGTGTACCGTCTTATCACCAGGAACTCATACGAGCGTGAAATGTTTGACCGCGCCAGTCTCAAGTTGGGCCTGGACAAAGCAGTGTTGCAGAGCATGAGCGGTCGAGATAACAGTCTGGGAGGAGGCACCGGGGGAGGGGTGAGTTTGACACCTGTCCAAATGGTCTGGATTAGAATCAGAGCAAAATCATGAGGTCGTAAAAATTAGTTGTTGTTTTTTTTTGCCGATTCATTTATGCTTTTACATTTTTCTTTGCTTGTTTGTTTTTGTCCCAGCATCACATCAGTGCTCTCAAACTAAACAGTTAATTTGTACAATAAAGAAACTCCACTTTGTCACTTTAAAAAATAATTGCCATTTCATCTTTTTTTTTTGTAAAATAACAGGTGAAAGTATTTAAAGGTTAACAAAAAATGTTATTTCTTCGATTTTCTTTAAAAAGAAAAGTCATACCTAGTGTAGTGAGAATCAATAATACAATAATATGTCATAAAAAAAAGATTATGAAGGTCAGTGCTAAAATTTTCCCAGTGTGTAACGGATACCTTTTGTATAATCTGCTGGAGAGGGAGTGTGTGTGTGGAAGTTGTGCTGCAGTGTGTTTCCTCCTGCGATTTATGTGAACTATAAGAAGGTTGAGCATTAGCTGCTTGTTACATCTGTTCTGAGTATATTTGCATGCCAAACAGCTGCTGGGGTTAGAGACAGAACTGTTGTTACAATTTCAATAACCCAACATGTGTGTTTGCATTTAATTGTCTATTTCTGTTGAGCTTTAGTCATTTGTTTGACCAAAAAACAAAAACGAAATTTAGGTTTATTGAATGATAAAATTTTAGCTTCTCGACATAAACTGAGCCCTGTTGCTTCTCAGGCTGCGCAGCAGCAGCTGTCCAAGAAAGAGATCGAGGACCTGTTGCGGCGCGGCGCCTACGGAGCCATCATGGATGAGGAGGATGAAGGGGCCAAATTCTGCGAGGAAGATATTGACCAGATCCTGCAGCGTAGGACAAAGACCATCACCATTGAGTCAGAGGGACGAGGATCCACCTTCGCTAAAGTAAATAAAACTGGAGGGAAAAGCTTTTTCACTATAATATTTATATTTTGGAAGTTGTTAAAAAAATCACTACTTTTTCCTGATTTATTAAATGATTCCGATCTCTGCTTTTAGGCCAGCTTTGTGGCATCCGGAAACCGCACTGACATCTCTCTGGATGACCCTAATTTCTGGGACAAATGGGCCAAAAAGGCTGACATCGATATGGAAATGGTCAATGGCAGAGTAAGTACTGCTCTACGATGGATGTGATACTTGGCGAGTAGGATAATTGGGACTCTCGAAGCGTGGATAGTTTAACAGTCCTTTGACAAGAGCCAAAGGCCTGGAAGATCACTGACATTTTGTAAAATCCTTTTTTGTCGTCCTCTTCCCCCTCTACAGAACAGCTTGGTGATCGACACTCCTCGCGTCAGGAAGCAGACGAGACCCTTCAGCGCCACCAAAGACGAGTTGGCAGAACTTTCAGAGGGCGAAAGTGACAGCGACGACACCAAGCCCAAGCTGAGACGAAACGATCGTCTGAACAGCTACGGCCGCACAGAGTGCTTTAGAGTGGAAAAGAACTTGCTTGTTTATGGGTATGATAATAAATTTACCCTGACACTGTTGATTAACCTGTTTGAAACAGAGTGTGAATTAGAACTTTAATGCAACTTAATTTGTCTGAGTAGAAGAGCGACGTCTAGTCTCATTGTTTTGGTTTTTCAGATGGGGTCGTTGGAAGGATATTCTCAACCATGGTCGTTTTAAGAAGCAGCTGACTGAGTGGGATGTAGAGTCCATCTGCAGGGCCCTGCTGGCTTACTGCCTGGTTCATTACCGTGGTGATGACAAAATTAAGAGCTTCATGTGGGACCTAATTGCTCCCTCTGAGGATGGACGCACTAAGGAGCTTCAGAATCACCTCGGTAAGTCAGAGGACCTAAAAACAACAAACTGTCAGCAACAATGGCACCTTATACACCCTAAAGCTAGATGTTAGGGTATTGCTGCACTTCTTGTACAGCACCAATGACTTCTCTTCCTCTCGTTTCCCAGGCTTGTCTGCCCCAGTCCCTCGGGGCAGGAAGGGTAAGAAGATGAAGACTCAGTCAAGCTCTTTTGACATCCACAAGGCTGAGTGGCTTAGAAAGCATAACCCGGAGCATATGCTTCAGGACGACGGCTACAAGAAGCACCTGAAACACCACTGCAACAAGTAGGTGTTGCCCTTGATATTTAGTTCATACAGTGTGGCATGCCAAAAGTTCAATAATGTTATTGGTAACAGAGCTATAGAGGATGATTCTTCTATAAAGCCATTGTAATGAACTGTATATGTCTGTGTGTAACTCACTGTGCTCATGTTGGTTGTTGGTGTGAATGTGTTTGCTCTCCAGACTGTGTTCAAACCTATAAGCCATTATAACAGGTGGCAGGTGGTCATTATTCTCCCCTAATAGTGATTGTCTCCATTTATATCTAATAGAACGAAGCTTAAGTGAATGAAAATACAATTTGCATGTGACTCAGATTTTAATGTGGCACTGCCAAGCCACAGTAATTAGGAAGCACTCCAACGTCTATTGGAGCTGACAGCCTACTGATTGATTAACAAACGTTCATCGCATGGAGACTAAGCTGGCTGATGGGAATCTTCATGAGACTTCAGGCCAGCTAATGGCCGCCATAGATCTGTCTTATTTTCAGACAGAGGGAGGGGAACGTGGCTGTTATTGAAACATTTGGGCTATAAAGCCAAATAAATGGTTGGTTCTTTTTTAAAAGGGAGGCTTGTAGTTGGGCTTTTAGATGGAGAGCTCTGGAGCTTTCATAGAAAGTTCTCCATTGTTTCTTTGTCCAGTTTTGCTGAATCCAGAGATTGTCAGTGTGACATGCAGGCCAACTGGGGACACGCACTAAGCTGAGTTTGCTGACTTGTGCATTCTGACTCTTAGGATGTGGAATGTGACCGATGGCCTGCGGGTGAGGGCTTAATCGGCTCCCTTAACATGGCAGCAAATGTAGGACACAAAACTGTGCTACAATGACAACTTAGTTGTGAACGATGGTTTCATGAAAATATGCTTGAAGGACAACAAGTTACTTTTTGTCATAAACAGTTTCTGCTTTTTGCTATGAATACATATCATCTGATCCTTTGATGCATATTTAAGTAAAAAGTGAAACTATGACAATCTTTTTTTTAAATAGATTTAGCATGTTTTGAGTCAGAATAACCACTAGGAGCAGTATCTTCCCTTACCAGTTTAAGGTGAGCACATAATGCCGGTTAATTTTGTCGTACTTGGTTTATTTGTTCCATAAGACTTCTGAGTTTTTGTGGAGCTGCTTTGGGTGAGCCTCGTCTCCCAGACACCACACATCAACAAAGGCTTGGAAAAGTGGTGATATAGGGTTGTGCTGCTGACCAGCTGAAGGATCAGCAGCTGCTTCTGAGCGAGGGAGGATTTAGCTCCGACTGGACATCTCGAACATCCATCACTGACAAAGGCTGCTAACGTTTGGAGCTATTCAGATGTTCTTGGTCCTGTCGTTGTGAGGGTGCAACAGACAAAATGTTGAATACGAAGTATTTTATATTTCAAAGAGTAACAGCACAAATATTTTTTGTGTTCTCGAAAGAAGCAGGTTTGTACAGATAAATGCAGCAGAATCAGGCGTGGGGACAGTTAAATCCAGCAGGACACTTCTCATATTTAGATTTTGAATCTTGTGTTTAAAATAAGACTATACAAAATTAAAAAATATATATTTTTATTTTATATATTCATTCATTTAAAAGAAACAAAACACATTCATCAAAGAGAAAAAAAAAACATTGAATGAAAAGGGTGCAGAAAGAACAAGAAAATTCTTATATCTGCCCCTTTTATAAAAATAAAATAAACGAACAAACAACTCGGGCATGAACAATCCCCAAAGCTAAAACAAAAAACATCAGGCATTCTTCACATGGTATTATACTTTACTAATTTATAATAATTATTTACCCTGTGCTTCAATTAAACATTTTATTTTGAAAATCCCAGAAACCTCAGCACTATTTTTCCCACCAGGTATCAGGATAAAATTTGAATTTATTTTTGTAAATAAATAAAAATCCTTTTTTTTATTTTTTTATCATAAAATTGTTTTGCAGTTAAATACATGATCAAGTCTTAGCAGATGTTACCGCTTGGCACACCACAGATCCCACCACTTCACTGCGTCTCCACCTAAAAGCTGCTGTCTGTGATGAGCGATCATGCATCACACAGCTAATGTCTCCCCTGTGAGTCATGCTGTCTGTACGTTGACGAACTCTGCTTCCCAGCCTTCATCTGTTGCGGAGTACAAGCACACAACTGCAGCAGAGAGACATTTGTCTGATCATTCTGTCCTCAGTCTGTCTGTAGGTGATACGGTATCCAAGTACCGGTAAATTGATTAGACTTGGCGATTTGACGATTTCTTGTTGAGTTACACAGACTTTGTTGGCACAGGAAGCAGTTTTATGGGTTATTCCTGCTCTGTGGTGGGCCGAACGATTTATAGTTGTGCCCTGCTTGATAAAATAACAGGCAAACATCCACAAGTGTTTTTGACTCGAATGCTGATTGTTGCATTGAACAATAGACCAAGCTTTAGATTACAGCTCAGTTGTCACACATTTCTCTCATTTGCATTGAATCTAACAGGTGTGCCTGCATGTGTGTGTGTGTGCATGCATTTACAAGCGTGTGTATGTATGTGTGTGTTGTGCTCGCTCAGCATTTGTGTGTAGTCAGGGCTTTGTTGTGACCAGAGGGGGTTTTCTTTCCGCAGGGTGCTGCTCAGGGTCAGAATGCTCTACTACCTGAAACAAGAGGTGATAGGAAGTCAGGCGCAGAAGGTGCTAGATGGTGTCGACTCCAGGTGAGCTCAACTTTGACCTCTTCAGACGTTAATTTACGATGATGCCTGCACTGAAAGTTCAAATTATTTCTCTGAGCCTAGTTTTCTGCAACATTTGCTCCTCTACAAGTTTGAAACATACATGCTTGTATAGCTGTTTGGATTCAGATAGAGCTGCCTAATGCTAACATTTTAGGATTAATTTAGGGCGAAACAGCTGCTTCAAACAGTGGATTTATTTTTAAGCAGAGCATGTGCTTATTCACAAGTGAAATCAACCTGTTGAAAGAAGAAACTAGTGCTCAGCAAATGTGTAAGAAAAACCTAGGACACCCCCTGGTGGTGAAAAAAGATATTTCTCTTGTTTTTTGTTGTTTTTTTATAGTTTAACGCCAATAAATTGTCTAATCTAAATCATGGAAAACAAGGAAATCACATGGCAAATCCAAACCAGAATCATTGTACATATATTTTTTATAAATATAAAAATGCTACAGTGAAAATTTTACTGTTTTACAAGCTTTGATGTAAGAGCTAAAATGTTTTTGTTGTATTTATTTATTTTACTAAATGTATTTAGTTAAATAGAAGGCACAGTAAAAAAAAAAAAAGACCAGTAAGTATTCTAAAGTATAGAAACATCCCATTTTAAAGTATCCTTCTAGATCTTTGTCTCTTCTTCTTCCACAGTGAGGTGAAGATCTGGGTGCCAGATCCGGACCACTCGGAGCTGCCAGCCCTGTGGTGGGATGCAGTCGCCGACAAGTGTCTGATGCTTGGTGTCTTCAAGCATGGTGAGGAGCTCTGTTCAGCTGAACAGCAGGTTTCAAATGACATCTAACGTTGGAGAACTTGTTACTCTTTAGGGTCAACAGTCCAGGGTATTATGCCAGATTTGATCAAGTTGTTATTTAACAGATGTAGCAATTAAAGGGGAAGGTTGATCAGTTTAGTTAGTTTTTTTATTTTTCAACAAATGTTTTGAACCTGTTTTCAGATCGTATGCTGTTTCGTTGAGAAGTCACTCAGCTTGTGTATGTTTCCTGCTCCGTGCATCTTTTGCTAACATTGCTGTTTGCCTGTCTTTTTACACACTCCAGGTTATGAAAAGTACCACACTGTCCGCGCCGACCCGACCTTGTGTTTTTTAGAGCGTGTGGGGCGACCGGATGAGAAGGCCATCGCTGCAGAGCAGAGAGGCAACGATTTCATGGATGGGTGAGTGCATGCCATCAATATAGAAAAATGGAAAAAAAACATACTGCTTTTGTTTTACTCTCTCGTTGAACTTCGCTACAATACTACAAGTAAAAATGAGTCGTGTGTTTGTGCAGGGATGTGGATGATCCAGAGTACAAACCTGCTCCAGCCCTGGTAAAGGATGACATGGAGGTAAGATCTCTAGACTCAAAATTAAATGTTGTTTTTACTAAAATGATGTAAGGATTGTGCAAAAAAATTGTCCTAATGGAATAAGCAGATATTCACACATTTCAATGTAACTACTTGGGTCTGCCTAGGCAGGATATTACTACATAATGTAGGAAATTCTAAGTGGTCTTCAGAGATTAAGCAGATTTTGTAGAATGAACTTACATGGATGTCCACTGCAATTGTTGTTGTTTGCTTCTGGTGAAAACATTGTTTTACAACGCTCGAGTAATATTATCTGTCCCACCACCCTTGAGCAGTTCTGTGCCTCAAGTTAAATCACTTCAAACCAGTAGATGGAAAGGTGTTGTTGTTAACATTTATATATTTAAGTTCAAGGTTCTTTATTGTCATTCACATCACATGTGGTACATGAGGTGGAACGAAACTGTGTACTCAAGGACCCAGTTACACCCAAAAATAGCAAAAAATATAAAGTATAAAAAGAAACAGTATATGAGGATCTAAGATATATGCTAAACAAGCACTAAACGATACGCTAAAAGATCAAAGATATATGCTAATCACTAATAATGTAAAATAATATATATTAAACAGCAGCCCGAACATGAGTCTGTAGTGAGCAGATGGACATGAATGAATACAGCAGCATGAGATCTATTTATTAGCTTTATTTATTAGCTTTATTTGTTAGCTTTACAGTATATTGCTTCAGTTTAATCACTACTGAATATAATGACAATGTTTTTTAGCAGACATGCGTCACATTTATTGAATTAAATCAAATGTTTGGACATCATCAAGAAAAAGTAGTGGGAAATAAAAATCTGAAGTGTCATGTGGAATGTCGTAACACATTTATAGCGTCTTTCTCAAGCTACCGAGTAGCCAGTTTAAGCCGCATGTTTTCCTCAAGATATGTTCCCACATTTCATCCTGCATTTAGGAATTTATGTATAAATTATTTTGATTACTAATTTATTTTATCCTAATCAGCTGAGTCAACGTTCAGCACTAGGCATGATGATTTGCTGTATAATTAGTGTAGATTGATGGAATGTACTTGCAGTATGTCCGTTTTAGTTTAGTATTTTTATTTGGCTCTATATGTCTTAAAGGTGTTTATTTGTCACACAGGATGACGCCTCCTCTCCTGGAGATTTGGTTGTTGCTGATAATCCTGGAGGTGGGCCTTACTCATTTTTAATTCGTAGTGATATGATGATGATGTTCAAAAGTAAAGGCTTCCTACGTGGAATAAACATAAAAGTTCAAAATTGTACCAAAGATGTACTACAGTTTATTAAAAAGGAAACGCACCCTGATTTTTGGAATTTGATCTTTTTTGTTACTTTGATCCAGATGCAGCTCCGATGACAGAAGGCCAGACGATCTACTGGCCCTCCTCCTCTGTGTTGACAGCCAGACTGAGGCGACTGATCACAGCCTCTCAGCGCTTCACCAAGAGCCGGCAGATCCTCCACATCCACCAGGTTCAGTCTCAGTCCCAGCAACCCATGATGCTGTCTGCTCCCCTCTGCCCATTGCCCCCCACGCTCAACGACACTCTCAACCCCAAGATGGCTGCGAAGATCGAACGTCAGCAAAGGTCAAATGAGACGGATGATGGACAAGAAATTAAGAAGTCTAGGATCTTGATATACAAATATGAAATATAACAAATTTTTGTTTTTAAATCCTTTTTAATCAGATGGACCCGAAGAGAAGAGGCTGACTTCTACCGGGTTGTCTCCACGTTTGGTGTCGTTTTTGACCCAAACCTTGGGCGCTTTGACTGGACCAAGTTCAGGGCCATGGCTCGGCTGCACAAGAAGACAGATGAGAGCCTGCAGAAATACTTGTGTGCCTTCACCGCCATGTGCAGACGGGTGTGTCGCCTGCCACCTAAAGAAGGAGGTCAGAGGTCTTGCTTGCTTCTCGGCAGGTCACATAAACACATGAATACAGTTGGTTCCTGATGATTTGTGAGACCTCAAAGAATCAGCCAGTTTTAGCAAGTGTTTATGCTCTTTTGATACCTTTTTTTAAAGTTAAATGTCTTCCGTAGTTTATGCACAGTCATTCATATCAGTGTGTGTTTGTTTTGGAGAGACTCCGTGGTAAACAAGCTGTTCCAAAGTAGAGGTCTGATAAGGTTAATCATTAGCAGACAGATATACTCTGATGTTCAAGCTCCGGGCACAAACAAGTCTTACCTGTTGAGAAGCTCTGATAGCCTCACATGCTCTTGTTTCTGTTCCAGATGCTGCAGTGGATCCTTCTCTCACCATCCAGCCAATCACAGAGGAGCGAGCGTCTCGCACCCTGTACAGAGTAGAGCTGCTTCGCCAGGTGAGGGAACAGGTGCTCAGACATCAGTTGCTTTACGAACGCCTCCGGCTGTGCCAGATGAGCTCAGACTTGCCCGTGTGGTGGGAAGTTGGCACTCATGACCGGGACCTGCTAATCGGCGCTGCTAAGCACGGCGTCAGTCGGACCGATTACCACATTCTGAGGGACCCTGAGCTCAGCTTCATGACTTCACAACGCAACTACAGTCAAATGAAGGCTGCTCCGCAGCAACCGCGCCCAACTGCAGCACTCATGCATCCTCAGTACCAGGCTTCCAGCTCATTGATGACGCCCCCAGCCACTCAGAGAGACATAGACCCCTGTGGGGTTGGACTGAAAGTGGAGTCTGCTTCAGAGGAGGAGGAGGGTAAAGAGAGGCAAAGAGGGAGGTGGAGCCCTCCTCACCTGCCAGCAACTCCCACAGGTCTGGAAGAAAAGCCCGTTTCCATGGTGAGTGACAGCGATAGGCAGATGGTGGCAGCACGCACCAAACCGCTCACTCCAAACTCCACCGAGAGGAAACCCAAGAAGGCCAGTAAGAGAGGCCGCAGGGAGGCCACGCGAGGCTCCGAGTCTGACTCAGACGGCTCCTCATCGAGCTCTTCATCACGCTCCTCTTCATCTTCGTCATCTTCATCGTCATCACATTCCGGGTCCAGCTCCTCATCCTCATCATCATCTTGTTCTTCCGGCTCCTCATCTTCATCGTCTTCTTCCTCGTCCTCATCTGATGACAGTGACAGTGAGGGAGAGAAAGCAAAGAAGAACGGTGAGTAACTCGGAACAAAAATTCTTTAAAAATGTTCGATTTGATGTTGAGATGAGCGAACTAAAGTTTGACTCCGACCTCTGATTTGATCCAAAAAGTGTTGGTACTCGAGTGTTTTTGAAGTGTGTGTGTGTTTAACGTCTGAATGTGTGACGTTCACAGTGCCTGTATCAACAAGTGTGAAGGGCTTTGATGAGGACAGCGTGGCCTCTTTAAGGTCTACACAGGATGAAACACAAGATGCCCACGTGGCTGAGAACGGTGTCGCCAGCAACTCCTCCCATCCTTTCCAGGGAGGAGGGTACATGCTCGCTGCATCCTACTGGCCAAAGGTAAATTACTGCACATATTTTCAGAGCAGACGTTCTAACTACCAGAAGAGTGTTTGTAATAGTATCTAAACTTTTAGAAAATTGCAATATGGTGGAAATCTGCTCAACTGCAGTGTAAAAAAAAAAGTAGCTTACTGTTGTACTCATTTGAAATAACATGATGTGGATCATAAAAAACTATGTGAACTTAAAGCATGCAAGTAAGCAATGGGGAAGTTAATCTAAAAGTTGTTTATTTGTTGTTTATTTGTCAGGATCGTGTCATTATAAATCGCCTCGACAGCATCTGCCAGGCTGTGCTCAAGGGCAAGTGGCCAGGTCCACGTCGGTTCTATGAGCCCGGAGGTGCAGTGGCCTCCTTCTACACCACCAAGCTGCTAGACAACGCCAACAGCCTGAGCGAGGACCCCTCTGCATCACCACAGGGGTCAAAGGTGACCAAGCATGTTGCAGAAAACAAGGAATTCTCAGTAAAACTCAACGATGTATGTTTGATTTCTCCCTTCCTACCACACCCTTCCTCTGCTTCAGCCCTAACTGTAGGACCCTCTCACTTCTGCTGCCGTGAGCAGTGCTAGCTGCCATGTTCAGCATGTTTTTTCTGGTCTCCGGCCTGCTTTCCTTTGGGGATGATTAGCGGTTTGGACTGCCTGGCAGGAGGAGAGATTAATTTAATAACAGCCTTCCTCTCTTTTCCCACACACTCAATTTGAATTGGGCTCTCAGGCTGTGATTACACAAGCACAAATCATTCAGTCATGAGAATATGATAAGGTTCTGTTTGAAGCCTTTCTACACTGATGGGGTCTTGCTAGTAATCTAATTGAAATGGAGGCCTCTGCTGTGGGTGTTCTCTAATATGCTTATTGGCAACATGTCTATTAACTCAGCAGGATTCAGATTTGCTCCTATGTATTTTTATCCATTTGCTGCTTTTTGATAAAGATCTATAATTGTTGGGATTTACTATCTCGTACCTGCAAAAACTTACCCCTTCTTACCCTTAAATTGGGACTTTATAAGCAGCTATGTCTTTGGCATGGCTTTTGAGCACAGCACAAACTTTGGAAAGACTTTATCCCTACTAAGCATTGCCCACTGTGTGTCCACGTGTCTCAATAATACTAACAAAAACAACCTGAACTGTTTTGTTGTTGTTTGACATTTATGAAATAACTTAATAGCACAAATCAGAATATTTTGAAGGATAAAGCGACACAGATTTAAAGACAGTGCATTAGTTTTCTGATAATGAATATAAAGAAGTCAAAAATTATTATTTTTTTGTTGTTTTCTTTTTTTTCATTCAGTAAAAATCAGAAAGGGAACAAGTCGGGCATAAAGTTTCATCTCATGAACAGCTCTGAATCATGTAATCAAATTTCGCAGATCGCTTCACACTTTTGTGTTTGTGCTTGTAGCAGGAAGGAGGTCTGAAGCTGACCTTTCAAAAACAGGGTCCACCTATGAAGAGGCCCCTGGAGTCTGAAGAAGGCCCTCAGGCCCAGCAGCAGTATCTGGTCCGTCTTCATGAGCTGCAGAGTGCGTCGGACACGGGTCTGGCTGACATCACCAAGCCTCATAGCAGCGTCCAGACTGGTGTGTTGATGTTAAAAACAGCACGAAACAAAATGTCTGTTGATCTATCCTGTTCTGTTTTCTTTCCAACCACTAGATGGCAGCAAAGCATAATTATTGGAGCATATTTGGATTTGTTTACCTATAAGGAACAGAAAGTTTTCATTTTGCAGTTTAGTTTAAGTTGTTGACAAAACTTCATACAGTTGAGGGTTTTCTTTTGTGCATGATACGCTAGTTTATAACAAACATGCTTGTTTTCCAGTTCCTCCAGCTTTTACTGATGAGATGAGGATGAACGGAGCTCTGGATGGTCAGCCCCTGGTTAAAAAACGAAGAGGCAGGAGAAAAAATGTGGAAGGGATGGACCTGCTCTTTACGAACAGGAATCAAGTAACTACTGTTCCTAATCAGGTTATTACTTTATTATTTTATTTTTTATATTAATTTTAGTTATAAATCCTAAATTGTGTTGACATTTTTCTTCCCTGCCAAACATGCCATTTATGATTAGTTCTAACCTAAAAACACTTTCTGTTCTTGTGTCTCTTTAGGCGGCCTCGGGATGGGGAGGGATTGGCCAGGTGGGCTTAGCTGGAGCTGCTATGCCAGGATCCAGTCACAGCTCGACTCAGGTTTCTGCAGACACAGAAACAAGGGTCCCTGTTATCAACCTCAAAGATGGCACTCGGCTCGCAGGGGAGGACGCCCCCATGAGGAAAGACCTGCAACTGTGGCTAAAGGAGCACCCTGGCTTTGTGGCAGACACAGGAGCTTTTATTCCGGTGAGTTTTACTTTTGTCATTCTATTAAGGGGCACAGATTGTTGATGACTGAAACAAATGTTCCCCCTTTTTCTTCTTTAGGGAGTAAATAAAATGCAAATGCAGTTCCACTTCCAAGATGGTCGACCCAAGCAAAAGAGGCATCGCTGCAGGAATCCAAACAAGATCGATGTCAACAGTTTGACCGGAGAAGAGAGGGTCCAGATAATCAACAGGAGAAATGCCCGCAAGGTGGGTTTGAGTCAGGGTTTGTTGTGTCTTTAGGTGGTGTTTTTATGCTTCCCAGAATCTATTTATATCCATCTATGAACAAATGTAAAACTTCTGTATCAAACAAAGCTTTAAAAGAAGTAATTGTTTTATGATCATTCTGAACTTGTACATTTGCCTGAATGATTTGCTGCCCGTTTTGTTTGTTTCACACAAGTTTACATGAGCTGTTTTTATCTTCTGCAGATTGGCGGAGCCTTTGCTCCTCCTCTCAAAGATCTGTGCAGATTCCTTCAAGAAAACCCAGAATATGGAGTCCCGCCTGAATGGGCTGACGTAGTTAAACAATCGGTGAGTCTTTGTCATATTGAACTAAACTAAACTAAAACGAGAGTTACGACTGTAACTATGGTTCTATGAATCCCGGATGACCACCAGAGGCGGTTCTTAAAGCAATGAATGATCATTCTTGCGCATGCGCAGGTCGAGTATTTTATGCCAACAGTCACGTGTGACACCGGTACGTCTGTATATGCATGTGACAACAGTAGCCCAGTCCCTTAATCTTCTCTCGAAATGTGATGATTCCGAGGGACCGAGCGCTCTGGCGGTCATCCGGAATTCATAGAGCCGTAGTTACAGTCGTAATTCTCATTCAGTTTCATCCCTACTGACCGCCAGAGGTGGTGCTTAAAGCACTGGATGATGATTGCCAACAGAGTCCTGAGGAATCACACACAGAAAGAAGAAAACAAAACTTAAGTCTGCCCACCTTACTGAAACGAAGATGGGTGCTGTGATAGGATCCCCTCCAATGGGTGAAAGGCAGCCATGCTTACCATGTAGAACCTAGCAAAGGTATTTGGGGCTGACCAGAAGGCTGCTGCACATATAGCCTCCAGAGTGACCCCATTCATTGCAACCCATGGATACACTAACACTCATGGTGGAATGGCATCATACCCCTACAGGTGGCCAGTGGCCCTGTAGAGTGTATGCCCATTCCACCATGTCCACAATCCAGCATGCAAGACACTGCTTTGAAAGGGCCTGCCCTTTGCGAGGCTCTGCATAGCAAATAAACACATTATCAGACTGCCGCAGAGAAGCTGTCCGTCTGACGTATGCTTCTAGTGCCCAAACAGGGCAGAGAGACTCATCAGCACCGTCCGCATCAAAGCGAGCAAGCTGGAGAGGCAGAGAGTGGGTCGCAGATGAGGCCACCTTAGGGAGGAACGCTATGTTAGGCCAGAGGGTGACACCTGAGCCAGCCGGGTTCCAGCAGCAACAATACTCGTGAACAAACAGTGCATGGTGTTCACCTACTCATTTGGCCAAAGTCATGGCCAGGAGCAACGTTGTCTTTTTAGACAAGCACTCAAGGCTCACCTCCGCCAAGGGTTCAAATGAAGCAGACCGCAGAGAAGCGAGAACCAGAGAGAGGTCCCACACGGGCATGACAAGGCTTGTGGGGGGTGGGGTGGGGTGCAGACGTCGGGCGCCTCTCAGAAACAAGGACACATCCTTGTTACGACCTGTCTCCCCACCCGCCATCATATGCCAGCAAGAGATGGCAGCGACCTAAGCTTTCAGAGTAGATGGAGACCAGCCTTGAGAAAGTTGTGCCTGAAGGAAGGTAAGAATAACGGAAAGAGAACTGTACAGCAGGGGTGTCAAACTAGGCCTCGAGGGCCGGTGTCCTGCAAATTTTAGATGTTCCACTGGTCCAAAACACCTGAATCATATGACTGAATTAGCTTCTCAGTGCAGTCAAGTTCTCCAAAGTCATACTAATGACCTCCTTATTTGATTCAACTGTGTGTCATCAGAGACACATCTAAAAGTTGCAAGACTCCAGCCCTTGGAGTTTGACACCTGTGGTGTATAGGGTCCTCGTGTCTAGCACGACAGCAGTTGCTAAAAACCTTCCACTTATGTATGTACCCCAGTCATGTGGAAGGGGCCCTGGCATTATTTATTGTATGTCCAACCTCCCTGTCATATTCTGAGAAGGTAATGCCGGGTCCTGTAACAGCCAAGCCCAGAGCTGGAGGCGACTGGGATCGGGGTGCGGGTTCTGACCCCCCCCAACTGTGACAGGAGGTCCTTCCTGTGGGGTAAAGGCATTGGAGAGCTGTAGCATTGCCTGTGTAGTAGTGAAAACCAAGTTCTTCTGGGCCAGAGGGGAGCCACTAGGAGGACTTGATGCCCCTTTTGAAGGACTCTCAGGAGTGTTGGGCCTATCAGGGGAAGCAGCGGAAAAGCATAAAGCAGCACCCTGGGCCAGTCGTGTGCTAGTGTGTCCTGACCCAGGGGACTGGCACTGCCTGCCAGAGAGAACCAAAGCGGGCAGTGTGTCGTCTCTTGGGATGCAAACCGGTCCACAGCTGCCTTGCCATACCTCTCCCAAATTACCCTCACCACCTCCGGATGTAGCCTCCACTCCCCAGATGGTGGGCGTCCCCGAGACAGAAAATCAGCCAGTCCATTCCGCACCCTTGGAATGTGGGTTGCCCTCAGGCTGGCAAAGGGGGAGTCTGCTCAAAGTAAGAGTTTCTGGGTCAGCAGCGTCAATGTCGGCGACCGTGTTCCCCCTTGATAGTTGACATGAAAAACCACCAAAGTATTGTTGGACCACACCAGGACATGCTTCCCGCGTAGGCCCAGAAGGAAGTGTTTCGGTGCCAGTCGCACAGCGTCCAGCTCCAAGGCATTGATGTGCTTTGCCCTTTGCCACGGAGATCATGTCCCTTGGGCAATCTGTCGCTGTCACGATGCCTCCCATCCTGTGGTGGATGCATTGGTACAAACAACCTACCTCTGAGATGGCAGAGAGCCCATTGGGACCCCGTTCACCATAAACACTGCATCTCACCACTGAGCCAGTGACACAAGGCATTGAGGGGACATCCGCAACCTCCTGTGTCGGTGCACTGCATGCGTCAGGTCCAGTTGCAGGCTGTTGAGCCACATCTGTAGGGGGCGCAGAGACAACAGCCCCAGAGGTACCACTGTAGAAGCAGCAGTCGGCTTGCTTAACAGGCGGAGGTACGCAATGAAGGGAGGTGCACGGCCGGACAGGAAGGCACAGCATCTGCAGAATTCCGTTGACACACTGGCGACGGGCAAGCCACCATGGTGAGGGAGTTCATCATGGTTCCCAGAAACGTGACCTCCTGAGAGGGAATTGGGTTGTTCTTCTGCCAGTTCAAACGAAGACCTACATTACATATGTAGATTGTAAAGAGGGTGGGTCCTTAGAATGAGCCTTGTGGTACGCCATTGCTGACCATTAAATAACTGAAGGAAATACCATTATGTTGAACATATTGCCTCCGATCTGAAAGATGGTTAGAGAACCAACCAATGGTATGATCTGAGAAACCAATTTCTGAGAGCTTATGACAGAAGATGTTATGATCCACAGTGTCAAAAGCTTTAGACAGGTCCAAGAAAAGTGCAGCACAATAATCCGTAGCATCCAGTGCTTCAACAACGTCATTAAGAGCCTTCAGTGAAGCAGTCGTTGTGCTTTGTTGTTTTCCTGAAACCACATTGATGGGGAGGTAAGATGTTAAATGAGTTCAAATACTTTTTGATTTGAGTTTATCAGTTTTTCTAGAACCTTGGCTAAAATGCAGAGTTTAGAGATTGGTCGATAGTTGTTCAGTGAGGTGGTGTCACCTCCCTTCAGCAAAGGTAGAACAAAGGCTGTTTTCCATGCGTCTGGAATGGAGTTTTGGCTTATGGACCAGTTAAGGATGTGGGACACTGGTACTGCGATGATATGAATGGCCAGCCTTAAGAAATAAGGTGGAAGTTCATCTGGTCCTGCAGATTTTTTAGAGTCTAGACCTTTTAATATTTTATTAACCTCATTAACTGTGAACGGGGAAAGAAAAAAGGTGTGATTTACTGAAGGTTGACTTATAGGAGAGATGGTTTGTAGAAGTTTGACTTTTAGGAGAAATGGCTGAAATTCCATTACTAACTGTGTCAAATAAAGAACCAGAAGCGACAAAATGTTTGAAACAGTTCCGGATCTCATGCTTATTTGACACAGGAACAGAGTTGACAAGAAGTTGTGATGGGAGGTCAGATGATTGGGAGTTGACTGAGAGAGATTTGATGGTTTTCCAGAATCTTTTAGGATCATTTAGATTTTTGGAGGTCTGAGATAAAAAAAAAAAATTATGTTTTGCAGCTTTGATGGAAGTTGTGTGTTTATTCCTCATCTGTCGAAAATTCAACCAATGAACCAGATTTTCTCGCTGCGGCCCAAAGCTGGTCTCCTGTGCAGTAGGTCAGCTAGCTCAGGAGTAAACCAGGGGCTGTCTCGTCCTTTTATTCTGAACTGGCGGAAAGGAGCAAGTTTGCTTACAAAATAAATTAAACTATTATGGAAATGGTTCCAAGCAGAGTTCACATTGTCAGTTAATAGAATACGATGCCAGTCAAAGTGAGATAAATCCCAGAGGAATGACTGTTCACAAAAACATTTCAAATCCCTTTTTTGAATTGATCTGGGTTTAGGATGTGGAAGTTTAATGTCTCTGAGAGCCGCTATTACACAATGATCACTTAAAATGTCGGCGAAAACACCTATACCTGGAAATTTGTGAAACACATTTGTTAGAAATAGGTCTAAGATGGAAGATTTTTCAGGACAGTTATTGTTCCATCTGGTGGGAGAGTCAGTTGGGTCATATTGAGTGACAAACAATATTCCTTGAATTGATCACAGAGGGGGGTGGACTTTTCCTAGTTAAAATTAAAATCTCTCGCAAGTAAAACATCTTTGAATTGTAAATTAGCTATGAAGTCTATCAGGGAGGACAGAGCCTCAGGTGTTGCTCTGGCCTTCATTCAAAGTGATGTTTACAGCTAAGGCCTCAAATTGGTTTGGGATTGTTTTGGCTGAAATCAAGAAAATGCAAGCACGAAAAACAACTGCAGTGTAACAAATAAAGTCAAGCCGAACACAGCTGTACAATGTAAATGAAAAGCAAGCAGGAAAAACGGCTGCAATGTAACAAACAGCAATCTGACGTACAATACCAGTGTGAGCCTGAAAACAGCTGCAATGGGACGAAGCCGAACACAGCTGCAAAGTATGAGCCAATACGGCTACAGAAGTGAAAACAAGCAAGCACAAGCATGGCTTTAATGCTTTCTGTAAACTAAGGAAAAAATGGCTAAACGCCGTACTTCCAGCCAAGGAAACCCGATGCAGCTAGCGAACGCGCTACCGCCGGGTCAACAGAAATAAAACAACTTACCAGTTGAAGTACAATTGTTTAGAGGATACCAGCTTGTGCAGCCTCTGGAGAGCAAGATAGTCCCACAGCTCTGACCGTAGTCTCGAGGCTACCAGCATCAAGCAAAAAAGTAAACCTCTTACCACCTGCATGCGAGAAGATGAAAGGGACTGGGCTACCATTGTCACGTGTTTATATAGACTCACTGGTGTCACCAGGGATCACACGTGACTATGTTGGCATAAAATACTTGGCCTGCGCATGCGCATGCGCAAGAATGATCATTCAGTGCTTTAAGCCCTGCCTCTGGTGGTCAGTAGGGATGAAATAGAACTATTGTTTAAACTGATTTATAAAAAAATAGGGGTGCACTGATTGCAGTTTTCTGGCCGATCACCAATCTCTAAAAAGCCTGACCTGCCAATACCAATTTTGTTTTATAAGTGACACTGTCAGGTGTTATAAGGTCACAATTCACCTTCAATTTTCCAATCTAATTTTATTGAAAAACATACCCTTGAACAATATCCTAGAAATAATAAGGGATGGGGCCGTTCCAATCCAGTATCTGTATCGGCCTCCGATACCAGCATAATTTACGTATCGGATTTTCCGATCCACCTGCCGATATTTCCAATCAATGATGCATGTTGGCTTCAAACTATGGAATAGATTTCCTGAACGGCGTGTCTCATGAGCCCAGAGTAATAAGACCCGCCTCACATTCAGGAAATCCAGTTCATAGTTTACAGCCAGCTACAATGTGAGGGCGGAGTTAGCAGCACTGTGGCTAACTGCTAACCAACTTTTCATCGAAACATGTCCGCTGTGTGGACGTATTTTACACTAGAAACACCACAAAACAAGACAGCATCGTACAATGTCTACAGAGCCATAGCGCCACATTAAACAACGTTAGTTAGTTTTACGATGGACATTCGAGCTCCGTGGCTTCAGCGGGGCGCTGCTCTTTGGTCAAACCGAAAGAGGCGACTCGACACCGGCCAGACGCGTCCAATCTGCCCCGCTCAGTCTGCCCGTCTCCGAGGAGGGACAGACTGAGCACAGCTGCCCCAAATCAGGCTGCCTGCTTCGGATTGAACAGGACGAAGAAATCGCTGAAACCACGGAGCTCAAATGTTTACAGAGAAGTTGCTAAACTTCATCATAATTAATGACCAACCACTATCAGTTGTAGAAAACGAAGGATTTTGCAGCTTGATACTTGAATCCAAGATATAGTTTACCCTCCAGGAGATATTTATCAGTACAACAGTAGACAATCATAAAAAACATATGATTTGAAAATTATATAAATTAAAAACAAACAGCTACATTATAAAGTGATGTAAATACTAAAAACAGTAACATGTCTGTTGGTTTATGCCATGAACTTAGCAGATGTTTTGAAGCCATTTAACATTTAATTTAATTTAATTCATTTATTCATTCATTTAAATGAAACGAAATTTTTAAAAAAAATCATCAAAAAGAAAACGTTGAATGAAAAGGGTGCAGAAAGCAGAAAAAATTCTTATATTTGCCCCTTATAAAATATAAAACAACTTTAAACAATCACTTAAATTAATCACTTTAATATCCACTTTAAAACTAGGAATAAAAAGAAACATGTTTTGTGTTAGCAGAAATTAATTCTAACTCTAAAACTTATCCAACATTAATAAAACTTACCTCAAGTTGCCTTTTTGGACATGCATGCATATATTTGTACAAATTGTACTTGAGAGGAGATTATTACAGCCTCATATAAAATCAATGATGATCATGATATTGGAACTGGATCGGTATCGGCCGATACTCAGATCTAGGTATCGGGATCGGATCGGAAGTAAAAAAAAAAAAAAAAAGTGGACCTGTGCATACCTAGAAATAATTCAAACTTGTTTTAACTGGCCATGGGTAGAGCTCTGAAATATATAAATGAAGTTTAGGCAATTGTTAAAACTACAAAAAAAAATCGGTAAAATCGGTTTCTCCTGTGTCAGCCGATCTCCCAAAATTAAAGAAATTTGGGCCGATAAATCAGAGCCTATTTATCGGCGTACCCCTAATAAAAATAAGTACATTTACCCAGTGACTTTATGACTTTACTGAGCAGTTATCTCTATGAAGAATTACAGTTTGAAACTAAAAACAATGTTTGCTTTTATTAGACTGCACTTTTTGGCTTTCACATGCTTTTTAATTCAACAATAAAGCCATTATGTTGATAATTGAAGGTTTCTTGTATTTTAATAAAACTGGAGTCATCACTTCAGGCTTAGTTTACGCAGAGATGCTTGTCTGTGCTTGTCTTCTGCTAAACGTTGCACATGTTGCATTTTATCCAGGGTTACCTCCCAGAGAGCATGTTTGACCGGATCCTAACAGGACCCATTGTTCCTGAGGAGGTGAGTCGGCGAGGACGTCGACCCAAGAATCCTCTGGCAAAGGTGGCAGCAGCAGCACCCAGCCCGGCGACCTCTGCTCACGGTTTGAACCCTCTCCTGAATAACGGCCTCCTCTCTGGGATGGACCTCACGAGTCTGCAGGCCTTCCAGCAAAACCTGCAGAGTTTGCAGTCCCTGCAGCTCACCGCAAACCTGATGGGACTCCCATCCGATGCCAGCAACCTGGCTGCCAGTAACTTAGCTGCAATGTTTCCCATGATGCTTTCTGGTGTGGCTGGATTGCCCAACCTGCTTGGTATGAGCAACTTGCTTGGGAAGCCTGCGCAGGAAAGTGTTGGAGGCTCTGAAGAGAGGACAAAGGGAACAGGAGAGCATTCTAATGCTCCCTCTCATGCTTCAGAAGGAAAAAGGACAGAGGGCTCGAACACGACTCCTTCCTCCACTTCCAGTTGTGTTTCCTCAGCCACCACCACACAAAGTGCTTCGGCTACCTCTGCAGCCTCCAGTCACCCAGTTCCTCTTAACCCCTTGTTACTGTCCAGTATGCTTTACCCAGGGATGCTTCTCACTCCAGGCCTTAACCTTCCTGTGTCTGCCTCACAACCTCAGCGCTCAAACAGTGACCCTTCCAGCCTTCCTCCTGCTGCCCCTCCTCCACCTGCA